TGGTCATTTAGTGACTGTTACAAAAATAAGAACAAAAGAACTTCTCCACAGCCCACCCAGCGAGGACTCCTATCCAGCCCACGATAATTGGTAATTTCTAGGACTTAATAGGTAAGTTTAGATTGAGCAATTGTTCGCGATCGCACACATTATTGGGGCCGTATCAATGAATAAAACTAGCAAATGCTATGAAGTTCGAGCAATCAGCAAAAGCATTTCCTGAGAAGTAAAACCATTAAGAATATGAATGAAATGTTTCTTTTACTATGTAGCATCTACTAGTGTAAATATTAGCAAGTGCTTCATCCTTGTGGCTGACTACAAAGCCGAATTGGCTGGCTGGGCTTGGTAAAAAGCATGCATGGTCTTGGTGAAAACATGACCACCTAGTAAAACCATTACAAGGAAATGTGCCACTTTTTCAAGAGATGAAAACACAACATCCTCAAAGCAGTACTTTCCAGAAACTTTGTCTTTTTGTCATTATTTTCAAAGGCTGAAAACATGACCACCTAGTTAAACCATTACAAGGAAATGTGCCACTTTTTCAAGAGATGAAAATACAACATCCTCAAAGCCGTACTTCCCAGAAACTTTGTCTTTTTGTCACTTTTTTTCAAAGGTTGAAAACATGACCACCTAGTAAAACCATTACAAGGAAATGTGCCACTTTTTTAAGAGATGAAAATACAACATCCTCAAAGCACTACCTTCCAGAAACTTTGTCTTTTTTGTCATTTTTTTCAAAGGTTGAAACTATGACTACCTAGTAAAACCACCAGTAAATGACATATTGTTTTACACTAGATAAGCGGGGCATCAAGTCAAAACACTCATGAAAAACACAAAATATAATGTCAATGAAAATGTCTATGAAAATAAATGTTCAAAGTGTCAATTAGTGGACAGTATGGTACTCCTTGAAGCAGGGGGCGACGCAGAGGGGCTGGTGGCACGTGTCGCACTGGAAGTGTGTCTTCTTTTGCAGACCACGGGAAGCGCAGAGGACACACCGCCGGTAGCGGAAGTCGCCATAGCTGGTCCTCTCAAAGTCCACGGGGAAGTGTCGGCCGACAAAGCGGGAGTTGGTGAATGGTGGAGTTTCGTGCTGAGGGTGGTACTCGAGCAAGGGCTCGTCGAACAGCAGCTCACGGACAAGACTCAAGCGGTAGTCGAGGAAGGAGAGGCGGTGACCAACGGCCAGGTACACGGCGTAGCTGTTCACCAGCGTCAAGTCGAGCAGGTAGAAGAAGAGCTTCTTGTACCACTTGAGGGACTTACGAGTTGCTCGATGATTTGCCACTAGTTGGTCGCTCTTGTCAATGCCCCCCATCAGGGCGTTGTACTCAATGACACAGGTCGGTTTCTGCTTTTCCTGCCCTGTCCTGTCTTGCTTGCCGGTGCCACGGATGTCTGCCGTATGCATGGTAGAGAGCATACGGATGTTGCGCTTGTCTCGCCACACCATAGCCAGGAGAGAACCGCTGACACCCAGGTCGGCCGACCGGGACGCTGTTTCGCCCCGCTTCAGCTTGACGGACTGCAGGTCTTTCGGCATCCTTTTTCTGTTCCCCATGACCGTGCCGACGACGTTGAACTTCTGGTTATGAAGTCGTCAAAACAAATCGGGACTGCTGAAGGCCCGGTCAAGGGCAAGGTTGTAGCCCTTACCACTTAGGTCGTTCACCAGGTGGTGTTATCGTTGAAGTGCAGGGACTGCAGGATGGCAAGGAAGCGATCTCGGGGCATGACGGACAGGAATAGGCTCATCTTCACTAGTGGGTCAGTGGACCAGAAGCTATGAAGGGTGGGGTGCTTCGCAATGCCCGTCATTATGCAAAGGCCCAGAAAGGCCTTCAGTTCTCTAGTGTTCTAGTGTCGAGCTGTGATGCAGGCGGGGATCGACGGCACCACCATTCCCGGTGAAGCCGTACTTCAGCGGTGTACTGTCTTCATCTGTCCACCGGAACGGTGCGGCACCGCTGCTGGTCGACACGGCGGTCTGTGTACGGGACTGTCTCTTGCGCTTGGCATATACCGCCAAGGGTACATCACTGTCAATTTCTGTACTTGACTGTACTTGAGCAGGTGCGGGGGTGATGAAAAAGACGGAGAAACTTCGTCTGAACTCAGATAAAAGAAGAACTGGAAGAACTGGACTCTCCGGATATAACTTCAGCCATGTTGTCTGTGCTCTAAATAACACGATACCCAATATGAACACATGTGAACACTGCACGGCGTTTTTATTCTCAAGCAGCGAGGGCCGTGCCCTGTCAGTCAAAGTGGCAAGGGCCAGCAGTGCCCGGGCCGGGTCATTCATGGGGCGCAGGTGCATAATGACCCCGCACAGCCGCGCTTTGTCTTCGGTGCAGTGCAGCGATAATCCCCTGCGAGCACCTGGCAGCGCGAACAAATGCGCTCTGCAAAACAATACACGGATTACCTCCGCTAATTGCAGCGCTCTGCACTGAAAGAATACAGGGATTGATTGGCAGTGCCCAGCAGCTCTCAGGAGCTCGTACTTTTATTCCAGGCTTTGATAAGTTCGGTCACCCCGGCTATAAAATAAGTTCGGTCACCCCGGCTATAAAAAAAGTCACAATTCACCGGCCAATGATGGCCTAAACTTTTTAACTGACAGCCCCAAACTTTTTAAGAAACACCCAGCAACTTTTTTTTTTATAGTAAAGTTCCGATTTCAGAGTCCCCGGCCCCAAATATAAGGCCTATGGCTTCGGTACCGGAGCCCCCAGCTGGAAGTGGTTAATGTACTGGCCTCGCGTGGACATGGTGGAAGCTGATTTTGACCTTATTCTCGACCAGACACCAGTTTGTATTTGTGAACTGTCCAGTATATCACACATAAACGTAGGCGTACACACTGCGCATACTTCCAAAATAGCGAAGACAATAGACTTTTCACAATAAACATGGTAAAGCATTCTTTTAATCCATTTCCTTTCCAAATAGTCTTCATTTTAATACAATGCATGTGAAAACTTGCCGAAAACTGTATTTGCAAAATAAGCTTGACAGAGTTATCATTTATGTTCATAATTGATCATTCAATTCATATTTCTCTTATTGAAAACACAGACCTAGTTGATGTGCTGGTGGACAGGAATGGCGGTGACCAGACTATGGAGGTCAATTCGTTGAAAATCACGCTTACAACATTGCTATTATGATGTTGATATGACACGTGCATGAAATTGATTGATTGCTGACTGATCATTCATCCAAAGGATTTACTAAAAACACATTAAAAATAATTAGGGCAAGTTGCAAATATCTAATCACTGGAAATCTTGCATTGGGGGTGGGTTTTTTTTAAAATTTCATCTGTGAAATTTCGTCCTATGGTCGTTAACGTCCATTTTGCTTGTGAACACATACTTGCATCCCCCTGCCTTGCAGCAGCCTAGAGCTTTCTTCTGGAACAACGGCAAGTGTTCACATGGGAGATCCCTGCTGCTGTTAAGTGCCTCTTTGAAGGTTATGAAATGGCCTAGTTGGTCGCTTGATGGCACAGGTGTAGGAAAACGTACACACCAAAGCATATCATCATTCATTGGGGGGGGGAGGATGAGCAATGCTTACACCCTGGATCAGCACATTTAGCAAAATCACCATGCCAATGCGCCAATCCATGTGTCTGAAGACGAACTGGTATTCGTCATACATCGCCCTGTCCTCCCGCAATCTTGTGGCTGATGATGATGCTTTGGTATGTACTTCCTCGAAGTTGTCATGTGGCGCCTCCTTTGACCCGCTCGAAGTGTTGATGGTGACAACTTCACGACCAGCATACCGGGCATCCTTCCAGTAATGCTGGCTGTATTAAAGACCAAATGGTCCTTTGACCACCGTTGTTCAGGAGATAGTCCTGTCTGCTTGTTGGGTGGTTGCTGCTCTCCAGGGAGGACTGCCGGAATTGAAGTCGATGTCAGTGCTTTTGTGCACGGTGCCCAGAGCCTCTCCACCGCATTCAAGGCAGAATACCTAGGACAATAAGAGGTGACAATGAGGGCATCCAGCTCGCACTGTTTGAAGAGGCGGTCGTAGTAAATTTCATTCACTGCGTGGTTGACATTGAAGTCTGGGCCACCGTCTATAATCAGTGCAAGGAGTGAACGCCCCCTTGTCACCTCCTGTGCCACTCCTAAGTGGGTCATGAGGTTGTTGACGTGCGTCCGACACATTACATGGATTTTGGGGACTTCTGTTGACAATTGTTGCCTCTAAACGTGTTGGAAGCCTGGAACAGAGATTGGAAAAAAATGGTTTTATATGTACAATTGTTAAATTCCAATGATTTTATCGTATTTGGCAGGGTTTTTACATTTTAGCAGCAGAAAACTGGGGAACGACTTCTTTTTGGGGGTCTAAATATTTTTTTCAAAAGAAGAAAAAACAAAGGTCTGTTGATTTACATGTTTCTCGCCTCCTTGCATGCCACGTGCAGCCCGCGATTCTTTTTTTCTGTACCATCGGCATCAGACGCTTTAGTAGTCTGGTTCCCTGCACAATGATTTCCTTACGAATCTTGATAAAAATCGTAAAATAGTCGGAGATTCTTGGTCTGGGAACCAGACTAGCACATTAGCTGCTCACACGTTGCGCAAGCGAGTGCATAGCAGTTGGACTCGAGTTGGGACTGGGTGCTGGGAAACGACCGGAGCAAGGTAGGTTGGTGCGCATGCATAGTTAATGTGCCAAGAAAAGAGACTTTTATGTTAGGCTCTGCGATTTGCTCTAGAGTCACGCCCAACCAAATAGAGTTAAGAGCGACTAGAGTCGCCCCAAATAGATTTTGGATTCAGACAGGCATGTCTATTCAACCCGCGCATTGAACAGATGTTAAAAATGTCCACACAATTCACTTCATTATCTTTCTTCGTTTACATTTTTTTGATGAGAACCTATGATGTCGACGAGCAAGACCCAAGGTCGTATTTAGGTTTGGTTGTATACCGATCGTAGGCTTTATTTTTACCTTTCTCAATTTATACTGCGGGAAATTTATGGCTGATACTTACACGTACTGCTCCCGCCCAAGGTCGTCTTTGACAACAGCCAATGGTTGATCTGGGTGGTCATCTTCAAGTAGCCACAGGAGACAATGTAGTACCCTGGGGTTGGAAAGTCGTGAACTTACGAGCGGTATCAATCACAGTTGGGAAAGTTTCTGCCACAGATGGCTGTCCTGGACGGCAAGTCGTCTCTTTTGGTTGACGTTTTGCAGTCTTTTTGCATTTTTTGGGACTTTCTAGAAGCCACTTGACGTAACCTTTGTCATTTTCAACAGAAGCAAGAGCCATGCTCGCTGTGCGAATCGAAATGCACAAATAATTTTCTTGGTAACCGAGAGGGCATCTTTACCTGCGGGAATGCCAATTATACTCTGTAACAAGCAAAAGAGAAGTTTAACAGCCAATAGAAAGGGCGGTGGTCCAAAAGGTGCGTCAGAGAGATGCAAACCTGGACCCCCACAGTCAACAGGGAGATGATTCAAAGCATTCCGTGAGGTTGCGGTCTCCACATAGGCCTAGAGCTCAAAGGTGTTGTTCACCAGCCTCCCGAAGTCACAAGCTGCAAAGCACTATCTCTGTTTACTCGACTCTGAATGATCGTGAATATGATACGCTGAGTTAACTAAAGCCGAGTCACTTCGTCCGAAGACAAGAAGATAGGCCCTACTTTCTGAAGACATTCTCCACAAGTTGGTTCTACTGGCCTTGCGAACCATGAAGATTGAGTGGTTGGTGACTAGATGGCTTGGATTGCAACAGAAAGTGTCGTCATGTTGGGATGGGGGTCAAGGTGGCCTACAAGTGGACATGGACGATGGAACCGATACCGGTAAGCATTTAACCTTTTCTTGACTGAACTAAAAAACGATGTAAAATACCCAATACCCAAAAGTGCATTACTTATAATTCCAAACAATGAAAGAAATGAGCAGAGTTGATATTGCAAAATTTTTAACAAGTATTTGCTAGTAAGTGTCCCTTGGAGCACGCGACATAACAATGCCCAATGCAAATATCAGTGATGCTGACTGATGAAGGGCAACATGGTACGTGTTTGGACTACAAATTTTTTTGCATTGCTTTTATTTCACGCTAGGTTTGAAACGTCCGCTAGAGTCTGACAGCGATGACGACGTGCCACTTCTGACACTGGCCAAACGTGCCAGTGGGAGCCCTAGCCCAATCCGCCTCAATGAGGAAGCTGCACCCCTGCAGCAAGCCGGTCGGCCCACATCACTGGCCCGAGCCGACTCCAACCCAACCTGCCACAACTTATGTCCCATGTGCTGTCTTAGGAAAAGCTAACCAGAAGCAACTACTATTGGGGGGAGGTTATGTGCAAGGGGGGAATGTTGTGCAAAAAACAGACACTAAAGCACAACCCGGTTTTTCAGGCCGTCTTGGCGCAAGTTGGAAAGGAGTACCCAAGTACGGCTGGAAACGAGGCATTCAAAAAGGGCCTTAGGGAAGCTGGAAACGGCAAATGTAAGAAGCTTGCCAAAATACCGATCATATTCAATACATATACTAGTTTTTTGCTTTTTAAGTTTGTGTAAATAATTTTTTTCAGGAAGGGAATCATTAAGTACTCAGGGGCAAACTATAGACTTGTTCTGTCACTCAGTCTTATACTTCTTTTTAAAGAAAGAACCTTTACATACATTTATTAAGACTACAGTTAATCTCTGGGCACATTTTGTTGCATTATTTGTACTTTGTTAAATTAATGGTCAACTGCCAGCAGACTACAAGAAACAGTGTGTAATAAAATTATTGTGTGTTACTGTGAAGTTGAATCCTTGTCATTTCAATTTTAATAAAGAAGTTTTCCGGTTAAACTTTAATTCGAATGGAAATATTTTCAGAAAGAGACCTAAAAGTGTTAAACCTTCGGGCAAAATGACTGCCTGGTAGTTCTGATAGAAAAACACAGGTTCTTTACATTTGGGGGATTTTCAAGAAACATCTTTGCCTTTTTGATGCTCAACGGATGGCCACACCACAAGAAGAAACTTTACTGGGGACAAATCACACATTGTAAAATTTCAGCGCTAACGAAAAGCCTCCTTGGATGATGAGTGGAAAGGTAGCATTAAATGGCTTGCAGTTTTTGATTATCTTCCTTTTGTAATGAACTTCCTGAGCTTGCCATAGCACAGTGGGCAACAAGGCGGGCGCGGCAGGCTTCTAGCTTGGGAGGGTAGCACCCTAATTTACATAACAATAGCCCTGGACACAATGGAGGAATTTTAATGAGTCCCAGCCAGAAATTTTGCACTGCTTGAGGCCGCATCCACTGGATGGATTAGACGCGAAGAAGAGGCGCCGGCAAGCACCACAGCAGGTCGCAGTGCACCCATAAAGCATAATATGGATGCCTTGCCTAAACAACCCTGCCTAATAGTTCAAGTACTACTTCTTGGTAGTTAAGCATAGGAGAGATTTTTCAATTTTTTTTGTCCAAATTTGCAGTAAAATTGGATCATTTAGCTAATCAGCTTCACAGAGCCAGCTAACACACAGTATTGCTTGAAAACTGTTACAATACATACCAACTATTACACACAGGAGAGATACACACATATGTACCAGAAACCAATTGCAAAGACCTTCATGAAGATGTATGTTTTCCACACTCTGCCTACAGCACTGGCAGAGCCGAATGAATATTCATCACAATGTTGCCCCAAAGCAGCTTATTGGCTGCCTACCACAGTACAGGATCCCTTGTTGACACAGAATTGCTTGTGGCATTCTGTGCAGTAAATAAGCAGTACATCCAAACACATGCATTACTCATACATGTACATGTACTGTAGCATAATCTGTGCATGCATAAATGTTCATCTTCTAATGTGCTACGGTTTTAGTCGATGTTGGCATATCTTAACATTAATTAATTCAAAGAACACATTGTTGCATCTCATTAATGAAATTGTCCGCGACAAAGCAATTGAACACTTATATGGAATACTGAAAATAAAGTATTTCATCATTTAATGTTAAAATGTCTTGTCGGTGTACCCAAGTTTAACCACGTATGCAACTTTGTCTGATTTATCTAAGTCGTCGAATTTGCAACAACAGGCTCTGTAAGCGTTAATCGTATTTGGTTGGATCTCCGTTTGCATATCAATGTATTTGGAAAACCATAAAGTTTATGTGATCGAGTATATCTATCGTAGGTTTTTGAAGTTGATAGCAGATTTTTTCAGGATTTTTTCTTAGACACCAAATTTATAGACATATTTGACGCCGTAGCAGAGTGTTTTTGTAAGCATGATCAGCAGACGTTTTTCTTGACCATTGTCTTTATACCAAAAGGATGAATAGCATTGCGTATGTTTGTCACTCTTTTAACTGCGGGGTCTGCTAACACGAGTTTGTCGGGGTCAAAGGGCCCGTATACAACGTTTGTGTCTATGTTGTGAGCATCAAGATGTTCGTAGTTGTCAGTTATGATGTAAGTATGGTTTGACATGGTTCTGTTTTTATAATACAGGTGATTATAATCTCTCAGGCTTAATCCCCCGCGTCAATTAAACGTGCGTAATAGTCATAATCTTCACAAAGATCTTCAGGTAACGGTAGTGTTTGTGGAGTCTTGGTTATTTTTACTTGTTGTGTTTAAGCAGGGTTTTTCTGCTTCAAGTCAGATTCTGGTTCGGGATCGTTCGGTGTTCTTAGTCTCATCTTCTTGTAGCAACCATAGCCGCTGTTGTTGCCACGTACAAATACTAAATATGATTCACTGGGTAAATCGCAACAGTTGAGTCAACAAAAACATTCCTTACATTGGTCACAATCGATACAGAGTTTACATTTGATACAGTTGTCACAGCGCTCGTAGGTAACAGAATCATTGAAACCTGTACATTCTTTACAATCGACGCAGCTTTCACATTCACAGGAATTTACGCACTCGTTGCATTGGTCACAATCGTCGCATTGGTCACAATTCTTACAATCAACGCAAGCAATGCAGTTTACATTATCCTTGGGGCTGTCACATCCGATGCAAGTTTCACAGTTAGAACAATCACTAGATCTTTCACAATTAGCGCATTGTTTACAATTGGCAGAATTCGAGCAACTTTCACTATTTTTACGGTTGGTGCAATCTCGACAGTCGATGCAATAAATACAGTATTTGTAATCTACGCAATCGGTACATCGGTCGATATGAATAGAATTTAAATAATGATTGAAATCACAAGCATCTATCACGTTGAGAGAATCGGTTGTGTTTTTGCAACAGTAGCAATTGACGTTGGGTTTTTGGTTTATCATCTCTGTTTTATTATAGGTTTTTAAAATATTATTTCATTTTTTCTTGAAGCTTCAGGGGAGTTGGGAATTGGTCTGGAGAAGCTTCAGGGGAGAGAGGGAGGACCTTTTTTCTACCTTTATAAACCATGTTTTTTTAAGTGAAAACTGGTTAAAACCGTCGATGAGGTATAGGAGAGGTTTTTGAGAAGTGGGTTATAGCCTTGAAAGAGAGGATGTTTTGGGAGGTTTTTTGAAAAGGGTCGATGAGGTATAGGAAGGTAGGGGTCGATGAGGTCATCGACTATTTTCAAAAAAGGGGGGGCTGGTCCAGAACTGTCTTTGCCATACTACTTGTGTGATCCAGGTTTGGATGAAGAAATGCTGAGATTAGTAGGATTCATATTTTTGGCGGATTGAATGCGTGGAATAAAAATAATCAGTACACAGTGGAGCATGGAAATAAAAAAAAATGGTCCGGGCGCTGCACTGATTAAAATCTTTTTTTACATTGTGCCTTTAAAAAAAAAATCTGGATGTGTAGTCCCAAAAGAAACGTTTCTAACGTGGACCTCAATACATGGAGTTATGAATGCAATAATATTGTTAACATAAACACAATCACCACATTTTTATGAGGACTAAACATTATAGTAACGGTTGTAATTGAGACACCAAAATGTGACATGGCAATAATGACGGATTAAAAAGTCTGTAATGACTGTTATAAATGTCATTTGATTTTTTTCCATTGTGTTTTATGTTGTTATGCCTTCCAAATGCTTTTACGTATGTTCAGTTGGATAACTGGCAGATTGTGTATTTTGTAAAGTCATCTTAGTTTATGGTAACATGTGGTGTCCTGAGCAGTTGCGAGTGTGTACGCTGATGTTGCTCAATCACTGCCAAAAGTTTCAGTTTGCCCAGTTGCCTCAGTCAATTAAAAATAACCCATCTGTACATTTAGAACGCCCAAGGAATCTCCAACTCTTGTCATGAATAAAATTTGCAAACTTTTCTCACCGTGATTGCAATCATGTCCTGTCTGTAACGTGTTCGTTCCATTGTATTTTTTTCTTTGATCTCTTCCCACCTTATATCCGTCTGTTGGGCAACCATGCCTTTCATGCAGTCCCCTTTACCCCTTGTCCCTTTATCTAGCCTGCAGCTTTCTTGACCTTTCCTTTTGTCCTGCATTCGTCCATGCTTGGTTGATTCCCATTTGCTTGTTTGCCGTGTTTACATTTTGCCTTTGAGAAAGATTTTGCGAGGATTGAAATGTTAAGCCCTCCATATTTTGTGATAAATTGTTTTGAGTGTTTCAACATCTCCAGCTCAAATTACCTAGGCATACTACACGTATAACTTCATTCAAAAAATGTCTCTGCAATCTACGGTCATCCCATCTCATTTTTCATTGTTTCAAAATTTGGTTTCACATGCCACAAATGAATAACTTACGGGATCTGTGCAATTCCTGGCTTTCCATTTCTGAGAAAAGTCTCGTTTGAAGTCACAGTACTGTCACAATTCATCAAGGTAAATTGATGCATGGTAAATCATCATGGCTGACCACTGCCCTCTGCTTGGCACCTCAGCAATGAACCAATCACACAACTTGTGTTTTACTTTTGAACCTAAAGGAAAAATTACATTACTGCTACAACTATATTTGAGGAATCCAGAATGTTTTGTGTAATACCTCCACATAAATATTTAATTTTCAACTCAATGTAGAATCAGCCACACTAACCAACAGCACCTACGTTGGTATCCAGGCCGTCATTCTGATAAGGTTGAATGATTTCTAAAATGTTTGTGGTGCGGCTGTTTTAAGTAAAAAGTCAAGGTAAGGAGAGATATGTACAAAGTTTTGTAGAGAAGAACAGAGAGAAAAAATATCTTAACAAAAAAAAAGCTTTTCTGCAATCATGCAGAAAGCCAAAAGTCTGAACAAAAATAGTGGCTTTGCTGCAAGAAATTTAAAATGTGACCAGAAATAATGGGAAATTATGCAAAAGCCCATACAACTTCTAAGGTCTTTATACACATATTTAATTAAGATAATTTTATTGTCTTTTGTTTCTCTTCATTATTTTATGGATAATTCAAAGTTGAAGTGGCTTCCTTTCAAAGATTCTTATCTCTGCATCCAAACATAATAAACCTTTATAAAAGTAGTTACAAAGCCTATTATTTCAAAAGTGATGCCTCCACTCCATTGCAGAATGCACTGAGGTGAAAAAAGACAACAAGAAGTTTTACTTTAATTGCTCAGTAACTGATAAAATGTCATTTTTAACGCGGTCAAAGTTATGTAAAATGGGTCATGCCATAATAGGTCATTATTGTTTTTCGTAGCTCACAGATGAAAAGATGTTTGTCAAAAACACGATGTGGAGCTAATGATATGTACTGTCAGTAATTGGTCAGATTAGTAGTCCGCCTGCACTGCTGTATATAGAGTGTTACTTGTATGTCTAATGGGCTAGGTATAACATGAGGGAACATTCAATGCATCCTCGGCCCCAATCACTCAGATATGAATTTTTAGAGGAAGGTTGTTTCAAAGGTACAGAGAAAGCCTTGAGAAAACTGGAGATTTTGAGTGCGCCAAACATGTGGAGGCAATTATGAGTTTTCTGAACAACATAAATTTTTGAACCTACCCACCAGGTACAGGAAATCCCTGATGGGCCCTCTCTGTGCATGTATGCAGTGAGCCTGCTCCTGTTGCATGTATCAATATCCACCCAAAGTCATATTGGTCAAGCCATCAGACATGTTGAATGGTGGGCATCAGAATCAAAAGAGGTTAAAAAGGAAAATACAGATAGCACATACTGTCAGAGTTACTTAGCAATCCACTCCATTTTTAGTAAACCGTATCACAATTTGGGCAAATTAGGCATTTTTCACCTGTCTTGCATCCTCAAAAGTCATGGTATACTGGTACACACACCAACCTTGTGTTTTCTTCATCTTACACCAAATTTTGTTTAAAGACAATAATTTAATGCTAGTATAATACTTAATTACAAAAGTAACAAAACGCTTCATAATAATAATTAACCCTTGCCAGTCATTATTGGGCCCATGAAATCAGTTGATTTACAACAGCTTGAGATCAGCACAATTTGATCTCTAACCTTTCATGCTTCTAGAGGTAGAAATTTAAATTATAACTTCAGTCTTACACTTGATGCACTCACTGTGTTGTGAGTCATGTGCTCAGCTCACACTGTATTAACAGAAATATTTCAATAATTACAACTTCTCTGTTCCAAAGGATGTTTTGTCACAAGTTCTGCAAGAGATTGGTGTTGGTGACATAGAGACACTGTTTAGATTTTGGAAGGTCAGGATCAAGGATTACCATGCCTCCATCCAGAGGAGAAATACTCAACTCAGGGAACAGCATGACAGATTAAAGGTAGGCAGGCTTTAGTTTTGATGTGCATATGTATGTGAGTTTTGTTCATTATTGGCCAAAATGATGTCAAGATTATTTACAATCAATATGTGTTTTTATAACACCTCACCCACAGATTCTGTATCTTTATTAGCTGAGAGCCAGTCACGTGGCATTTGCTATTTCAGCTGTCATGTTGTGCATGGCCAAAGGAACTACATGTATACCCATTGCAAACAAAGAACTTTATCTGTTGCAACCAAAGAACTACATGCTTGGCCACCACTGAGCACTGTGTGAAAATGCACATTGGTGTGTGTGAAAGCATCATGTACGTTCCCATGAACTAGAGCTGCAGAGCTGGGTTCAATCTTTTTGTGAAGAGGTAGTTTGGAAAGCGCTGGTAAACTGTGAACTAATTTCTTATTCAAATAGACTTGCATTTTACATGTATTTAGATCAAATTAATGTTACCACTTTATGTCAAGAAGAATATTTGGGAGAGGTGTTGTAAAACAAGTATTGACTGCTTTATCTAGTGTTGCCTTGGGAAAATAGTGTTCTCTGTGAATCACCTTGGGAGGCTAGTTTACTGTATCACTTGAAGCAGTCAATATTTGCAGGGTTCTCCCCACGTACAAACCTGCGTATCAGGCCTGATATGCAATTATTTCTGCCTGATACGCAAAAAAACAGGCCAATAACCATTTTTTCATCCCCGATACGCACAATACAATTATGATAGTATGGCTCAGAATTATCTTACAAAATGCAGATTGCATGTCCGAAAATTTTGACAAAAAAGCAGTTAGTAGTCCTGCATTTTTCCGTGTACATGAACATACTGAAGGTAGCCTAGTACATGCATAGTACATGCATTGTGCACCACGTTTCGGTGGCCACATTGCACACCGTACATGTACATGTACATTGGCACCAAACGTTCCTCGTGGACAGTTTCGCATGAAATCTGAGCTTCTGTCATGGGCGTCGTACATGCACCTGCGCATGTGTGTTTTTTCTGTGCCGTGTGCTCAATACTCAAGTGTTCCTGCCTTTACGAAGGTTAAAATTTTATACTACACCATTTGCAGAACTTACAACATCGAACATTGAACAGTCAAAAAGCATAAAAGGAAATTATTTGCATTAGCACAGCCAAGCAGAATTAATTACACTGAAAGTTAGGAAGCCGGCAAAAATATATTAATATGCGAAGAGGCAAATTATATCCGGCCGAGTATGATTACCTTAAGGAGCCAACACAAGAACAGAAGAAAATTAGGCCCCGTCCAGTCAGTGCCATGGCTAAAAGAGCGCGGTCGTCGAGCCAAGCACCTCCACACTCCGCGCCAGAACAGCCCAGTTCAGACAGGCAGGTCAGTGTCGATCCCCGAGATTCGGCTTCTACATGGAGCCACGACACTCCAGGGTCCACGGTCCCTCAGCGGTGTCAGCCTTGGCTACGGTGCGGCAGTAATCGAGGCGTAGACGACAAGGAGGTGCTAACCCAACGCCGGCGATTTTGAAACGCACATGCTAAAAGCATATAGGCACTGACTGAGAGCGAAATCAATGACTACGGAGTCTTTTATAGGTTTTTGGAACGTGCCTAAATTCCACACGTACCTTTTCAGGGAGACACAAAAGGATTCGGATCAACTAGGATCGTAACACCCACACACATTTTTTTTTTCATAGCGGCAGCCATAGCCCTGTGTAACAGTATTAATGGCATCTGTGATGGGGATGATATTTCTCGTTGCCATATCACTGCGTTTTGTCTCGTGCACAATCCATATGGCAGAAACTCAAAGAGAGGCTCTTTTTTTAAGCCAATAACATCAGCAGTCCACGATGAGGGAAACCCAAAGGCAGGTGAAGCAGCCACCTGCAGCACGTGCATGGAAGGTGCCAGCGAAGGAAGGGAAGCTGCCAATACCACATTGCAGAACAAAAAGAAAAGGAAAACGGGCATCGATCCGAAATGGTTTAGCAACTACAAATGGCTCATAGCCACTCCCTATGAGAAAGGTCAGTTGGCCTATACTTTTTTAAATTTCAAAAACTTTAATGAAATATTACTTGCTACTTCTAATTTTGGGCCTATTATTTGGGCCAAAATATTCAGATTTATGGAAAATATTTTAACAAAAGGTCTAACAAGTGTGTAAATTAATACAGCAGCATCAACTTTGTTTAAAATTATTATTAGCCTACCCATTTCAGTTTCATTGTTTTAATCACAAATACATGTATGTACTAGCCAAATTTATTTCCAGCACTCTTAAAATGGGCTAACCGCCCAGGGGAACCCCTGGCCCATTTTTTTTCCCATGCCTTTTTTTTAAATATAATACATCTACAATGATCAGATAATTATTTGCAGCACTCTAGACAACTTTGTTGGGTAGGCCTACCTTTTTTTCATTAAAGCCTTGTCTTCCACTGAAATGATGGAAACAACAGCCTCAAAGCTTGGGGACCTCATTCCAAAGATGGCTAAACCGGCTGCTGTGGCTTTCGTGTTGCCAGTCTCAATGGCTAGTAGGTAGTACTTTAGATTATACAATATCAACAGTTAGTTGATTGTCCTTTTTCAATGTTATCACAACAAAATAGATTTAGAAAAAAAAGTGTTTTATTTATTTAGTCAATTCTCTATATTAAAAAATACTCTTGTAATATGACTTGTAGCATAATTCAGGTGAACTGTAATTTTTAATTTCAGAATGTGAGCGTGGGTTAAAAGAGAATCAAAACTACTCTCAGGAATAGGATGAATGAAGTAACTCTCAACAGACTTCCAATGATATCAGTTGAAGTGCCCCCAATTCAGCACATGGACTTCAATACTGCAGCAGATACTTGGGCTCAGAAGAAGAACCGATGACTGGATGTTAAATTTCAGATATGGTTCAAAATTTCATAATTTATGCTTTTGTTATTTGTATTAAATTAAACTTAAGATTCTTAACAAGTCCAAGTCAAGTCACGTTGTTTCACAAGTCTAGTCAAATCGAAGTAATTTTTACTCAATCCAAGTCACACGTCAGTTAGCTAATTTTCATGCTTGGTTTGTCCTTTGCTGTAATTGTGTTAATTTTAGAATTGTTAAATTTGCTGAGTCAAGATTCTCGATGCTTAGTCAATCCACAAATCTAAACAAAATTTTTGATTCAACTTAAGGTGTCAGACTGAATCAAATTCACAAACTTAAGTCAACAACTCTGTAAAAATATGCATTTTAACAGCTATTCTTTCTTGCCGATGTACAAGAAAAGCCATGTAGTTTAGTTTTTCTATTTTGTTAAAGTCTTATTTTATATTAAGACCAAATAGTTTTGTATTTTTTATGACATTTGTTTATTCTTTGAAGCTAATATTTTTGCCTTGCAACTGAATAGAGCTCATGGTTTTAGGTCTGATTGGCACTTACCAAAGGTTGAAGCATGTATTAAATTAAAACTGAATATATTACAGGTGTTTAAATCGTTGATTAATACAGGCACTACATGTTGTTGCATTTCTGAAACTTGAATTGACTTCTTTTGTGCCTATAATTAGTCCAGAAAGGAAAATTGGTCATTTGTTAAAATATTGATATCCAAAATTAAAAAAAAAAAGTATTGAACCTGTTATGTTTTTTCCTGAGAAAAGGGACTTGAAAAGCCCAGGAAATGCTCTAAAATGCAGCTGAGAGCACCTAAACTCCAAAAAGCCCATTCCATGGCTTCGCAAAATGTTGGTAAACCACAATGGAAATCCCCCACAGTTTTGAAAAATCCTGGGATAACCCTGATTTGTATGTTATGAACCTATTGTGTCTTGGAAGCTTCTGTTTTTATATAGATGAAAATCAAATTTTTTCAGTCACTCTCTACATCATTATGCTGAACACTTTCCCTTACAATAGTAAAAAATAGTTACTATGTTATCCAAGGAATATGTTTTCATCCATGATCTTTATGTTAGTCTCCATCTAAGAAATCCATCCCATTGTTCCATGCTGAATAAATTACACACTTATAGAACACTTATAGCCACTCAAGGCTCATGACACAGAGTACTTCCCTTAAATAGCATTCCCACCTGCTGTAGATGAATCCAGAGATGTTTCACTGGACATTCCAAACAGTGTCCTCTCATAGTACAGGCCTTGATCTTAACTGTTAGAGTAGCAAGAGCAGTGGCCTCAAGTGCCCTAAAAATTTTATGGCATTAACCACTTCATGCCGGGACATTTTTCAATGTTGATGATGCTATCATTTTTTCCAGTTTTCAAAATCCTTCAAAAATTTATCATTTTATTTAACGGTCGTTTATAGCCACACAAAGTAATCTTTAGGCACTACTCTAAGTTGACAGGTGACCTTCATTGATGCCCGAGTATTTCAGCCAGGCCTGCAGCCTTGTAAACAGAGCCCAAATCATGCAGTGTTATATAACTTTCTTTTGTTCACGAACCTGGCTCCGTGCACTGCTGACCTCTTTTCAATAGGGGCCAGATTAGCGCGCGCGCAGCGGTGCTGTGTGGCTCATCGCTGCGGTGGTGGAGCGCTTTTGTCCCTGGTGGTAATCCGCTCGCTCTCAACACCCCAAACTCTGGTATACAGTTTCAAAACAAGGCTGGATTATCACCACTTTTGAGAGTGAAAAATGTCCGTAATGCCCTGCAGCCTGGTCTTTTGTTCGGAGCTTGGTCTTTTGTTACAGGGCCCTGTTTCCTTTGTTCGGAGACCCCGGCCACGCATATAAACCATACATCTCTGATTCCGGAGTCCCCTGCAGGAAGTGGTTTAGGCCAAGTTGTGGGTAAAAGAAAGTCTGGTCAAGCCAATTTGGCTCATCAGGCCAGTGCTAATCTTTGGTTTCCTTGGCATGAAAGGACTGAAGTTTATGCTTAGGCCTACAAGTCACATTTTCAAATTGTTTAAAGAGAAAGTCAACAAAAGCCAAAAGTTATGTTCTTTGTAAATTTAATTAGTGATATGGGACTATGATGACCTGAAGTTATGGAA